TTTTTAGGGATCTTAGAAGGGGAAGATCGGTTAGAAATGAACTTTCAGAAGGACAAAGAAAACCACAATAAAAGATCGTACTTTTATGTGTCAAAGTGTGTTGCCTGCCTGTATTCTGTGCACCATGTGTGTGCATGATTAGAGAAGGTGTTTGGGTCCCCTGGAACTGCAGTTACAGACAGTTGTCAGCGGCCACGTGGGGGCTGGGAATGGAATCTAGGTCTTCTGGAAGAGCAGCTATGCTCTTATTTCAGCCCCCTTTTTCTCTTTTTGTTTTCGAGACAGGTTTTCTCTGTGTAGCCCTGGCTGTCCTGGAACTCACAGAGCTCCATCTGCCTCTGCTTCCCAAGTGTTGCGATTAAGGTGAGCGCTACATCTCCTTTCATTGTTTTGATAGTGTAATATAATTACATCATTTCCCTCTTTCCTTTCTCTCACCAAACCCTCCCACATTCCCCTCCTTGCTCTTTCAAATTCATGGCCTCTTTTTATCATTAACTGTTGTGACAATCCTGGAGGTGCATGTGTGTATTTTTCTCCTAAGCACACAAATACAACCTGCTCAGTCTGTATAATGTTACTTGTATTTGTTTCCAGGGCTGACCATTTGGTACTGGATAACCAGTTGCTGTGCTCTTCCCTGGGGAAGACTGTTTCGTCTACTCTCAGTATTCCTTAGTTGCCTGTAGTTCTTTGTCTAAGGTTGAGCCCTGTGAGCTTTTCCCTAGGACCCTTTCTTTAAAGGTAGAGTCTCACTCTATAGCCCTGGTTGGCCTCAAACTTGTGATTATCCTCCTGCTTCTGGCTCTTGAACCCTGGGATTTTCAGAGAATGATGGGAATTCTTATCCTTGTATAATCTTGTCTGACCATTCAAAACTGCAGAAATTGTACTAAACAATCCCAGCTCTCAGAAGGCTCCAGGGGTGTCCACTAATTTTTTTCACTGCATTTTAATTTACCTGGGCTTATTTTTTTGAGACAGGATTTCAGTCTGTAGCCCAGGCTGATCTTGAACTTGCAGCAATTCTCCCGCTTCAGCCTCCGAAGTTCTGGGATTATAAGGCTGAGCTGCCATGAGTGGCTTCTACTTAATTTTTAAAAAAATTATGTTATATGTATGGGTGGGTGTTTTACCCCCAAGTATGTCTGTGCACCACATGCATTCAGTGCTTAAGGAGGCCAGAAGGAGCCGGGCGGTGGTGGCGCACGCCTTTAATCCCAGCACTTGGGAGGCAGAGCCAGGCGGATCTCTGTGAGTTCAAGGCCAGCCTGGGCTATCAAGTGAGTTCCAGGAAAGGTGCAAAGCTACACAGAGAAACCCTGTCTCAAAAAACCAAAAAAAAAAAAAGAAAGAAAGAAAGGAGGTCAGAAGGTGTCAGATTTCCCAGAACTAGAGTTGCAAGTGGTTGTGAGCTACCCTGTGCATGCTGGGATCTGAATCCTGGTCTTTGGGAAGAGTAGCCAGTGCTCTTAACTGCAGAGACATCTCTAGTTCTTCCACTGAACTTTTAGAGACTAAAACCCAGCTACAGGGTATCTTAACTTCCCCTAGCGCCACTGTTTCTACAGGATGGTATACTGGTATAAACTCTAAGAGCCAGTAGGCAGACTCTGAATCTCTAGACATCTTTTCACTACACCATGGGTACCTGGCATTATTTTGCATTAAGTAGTTGCTCATTAAATGAACAAATGGCTCTAAATGGATCTAAATGGTATAAGAAACAGAAATCCTGCTAGTGAGTGCTGTGCTTACCTCTGTCTCCTGCAGGCGGTGTCCAATGAGGCTGAGGGACTCTCCTAACAACTGGAGATGAGCAGCGACATCAATGGGCTCTGTCTCAGGAGCTTTGGCTGGTGAGGCTGGCAAAAGCATTGTGGTTGGTGGGGACTTCTTTTGGGGTGACAGTATTCCCAGAGAAGAAGCTGAGAACAGAGAGACGAAAATTTGTCCATGGCCTTCAATGTCACAAAAATGAGAATTTCCCTCTTAAAAAACTATACCAGGCATTAGCTAATTTATGTTTGTGAGCTAAAATTAGTTTGACTTCTTTTTTTGTGACCCATGAGATAAAAATAGTTTTACTTAAAATTTTTTTAAATTTATATTTATGTATATGAGCATTTGCCTAACATGCATGCCTGTGCACCCACATGTGAAAATGCCCAGAAGCCAAGAGAGGGTACTGGATTCTCTGGAACTGGAGTTATAGTCAGTTGTGAGCAAGGTTGAAGCTGGGATTTGAACCCTAGTCATTTGAAAGAACAGCTAGTGCTCTTAACTGCTGAGCCATCTCTCTAGCCCCTAGTTGTACACATTTAAAGGGTTGTAAGAAAGAAAAACAAATAAAAAATGTATATGTGACTGGAAATGCACATACCATCCATACAAAGGTTGTAACATCCACTTTCTGGATCCTTTTATTTTTTTTAAAGACAGGGTCTCAGTGTTGTCCAGACTAGTCTATAATTTGCTATGTAGAGCTCAGGCTAGCTTTGAATTTGCCACTCTCCTACTTGCTAGGTTAGAGGTAGGCTGAAGGACCCACCCTTATTTTCTGGATCTTTACAGCAAAGCCTGTGACTCCTTACAATTTCTAAATTTGAACTACTTCTCTGCAGCCTGTAGTAGTCAGTAATACTTAGGTGTCAAGGCCTACTTTTACTATACGCTCTTTGCTCTCCCAACTTCCTAGCAAAGAAGCAGAATTCACAGGGTGTTGGAGGAAATCTGTTCAAAGCAGAAGAGAGAAGCGGCTGCTACCTCTGACTTTCCCGGAACCTTCTGCACTGGATGCTTTTCTTTTCACAGTCGTGGCTTCAGCTTTGTTCTGTTTGTGCTGCAGATACTGAGCCTTTTGCTTCCAGATCTGCAACAGATCAGCCACACATAATTTAAAAAGAAAGACAAAAGGGGAAGCAGAAAGGGAGCAGGGAGCTGGGAGAAGGTGGAGAGAGGACAAATAGGAATTCTGGATCTTAGGTCACTCAAGTGGCTTTGAGCTGATAAGCTGATCTTAAATGCAGGACTGTTAGAATACTCCAAGGTTAAACACAGGTCACACAGCAAACACCTGGCTCAGTATAATGTCCATGTGGCTAACCACTTCCTCTAACCTGTCTGGCAATGGGAAACAGCAAGCTATCAAGAATAATCTGAGTGGAAAAGAGCTGTATTGTCTAAAAAAGCCATTCTTTAAAGTAAGAATGGCAGTTTTTTGTTCCCACACAACCTTTGTACCAAATGACTGGGATGTGACGGCACATAATTCAGATGTGACTGTCACTGCTTTATTAGCTCTTCTACTTTCCTTTTTGTTTTTTTGAGCCAGACTTGTTATACAGCCCAAGCTGGCCTTGAATCCATGACATTCATGCCCAAGTCTGCTAAGCGCTGAGATTACAGGCATGAGCCACCATACCCAGAAGTCTTATTAGCTTCTTGATAGGAGAATGCATTGCTAATGGTTGATGAGGATGGAGTCCTAGAGTTTGGCTAAGGGAATCCCATGCTTCTCTTATCTAGAGGGTGAAGGTCCTCAGTCCCCAAACCATGGCTGACTGGCATGTAGAGTGCTGTGACTTTAAATTTTCTTTTTAAAATATTTTAATCAACTTGGCTCTTCTTGTTTTACTTAAATATGGTTTTGGGGAAAAGTAAACAGCAGTAGAACAAGGCCATTTTCTTACAGCGAGAATAGCCTGGCCCAACAGTGGCCGTGTCCCTGCTGGCCACTTCTACTGCTCCTTTCTTGCTGTTCTCAGTGTTGTGTGGCTGGCAGGCAAACAGCAATGGAAACTGTGCAAGAAAATATACTTACTAGTTTGTCTTTTTCTGGCAACTGCTTCCATACTTCAGCCAATTTTTTACTAAGTTCCCCAAAATCTGGTATAAAAGAGTTAAAAACAAGACAAAAAAAAAAAAAGCACTGTAAGAAACAGAAGACTGGGGAAGCAGAAACTGGAAGAGGGTTTGGCAGGACAGAATTCTTTTTCTTTTTCCCCAAGACAAGGCTTCTCTGTGTAGCTCTGACTGTCCTGGAACTCACTCTGTAGACCAGGCTGGCCTCGACCTCAGAGATCCACCTGCCTCTGCCTCACAAGTGCTGGGATTAAAGGTACACATGTGCCACCATGCCTGGCAATGTCTACTTTTTCACAGCATCTTTGTGGCATGGACAACCACTTTATACATAAGTTCAACGAAACAGAGACATAATGTGACCTGTGTAAGGTCAAGGTAGTGTCTGCTCATCTTACTAAGTGCTAACACAGAGACAAGCAAAACACTACAAAATACATGCAATGGAGCTCAAGGCCTACACTGCTGGAAATAAAATGCATATTTTGAATATTAATGTGCATTGATGCATTGGTTTTTTTTTGTTTTTTTTTTTTGTTTTTTGTTTTTTTTTGTTTTTGTTGTTCTTTGTTTCTTTTGAGACAAGATCTTGCTATACTGCCCAGGTTGGTCTGAAACCTGTGATCTTTCCAGGTTAGTCTCCCCAACCCAGGGATTACAGGTACAGACCTGGCTCCTATATGTGTTTAATTTATGCATTCTTCTTCTTCATATTTTATTTTACACAGGGTTTTGTTGTACAGACCTGGCTGTTCTGGATCTCACTTTGTAGACCAGGCTGGCCTCAAACTCACAGAGATCTGCCTGTCTCTGCCTCCAGAGCACTGAGATTAAAGGCGTGCATCACCACCGCCCAGCATACTTTCCTCTTTTATTGGTTAAGAAATACATACTGGGATGATTCTCAGAAATGCAGAAACACAAGGAACCTTGAAGCTTACTAGCCATATGGATGAGTTCTAGGTTAAGTGAGAGACTCTGCCTCAAAAAGTAAGATGAGACCAGCAAAATGGCTCTGAGGATAAAGGCATTCACCACTAATGATGAACCTAAGTTTGATCATTGGGACATACATGGTAGAGAGAACTGACTCCTACAAGTTGTCCTCTGATCTCCACTGGCATACATGCACACATGTACACACACAAAATAATACATAAAATTCAATAAAAAGGGGCTACAGACATGGCTCAAGCACTGCTTGCTCTCCCAGAGGTCTTGAGTTCAATTCCCAGCAACCACATGGTGGCTCACAACCATCTTGGAATCTGATGCCCTCTTCTGGTGTGCAGGCATACATGCAGACAGAGCACTCAGATATTAAACATAAAAAAGTAAGGTGGAGCCAACATGGTGGCACACACCTGTAATCCTAGAGAGGGAAAGGCAGGTGGCTCTGTGAGTTTCAAGGACATTCTGGAGTTCCAGGACAGCTAGAGCTACATAACAGAAAACAAAACAAACAAACAAAATACTACTAATAATTAAAAACCAGGTGGAAGCAACTGATGAAGATATCTGACATCATCATTCTCTGGAAAACTCTTTTATAGGCTGGGTGAAATAAAGGATTTGCAGAACTGAGGAATTACAATTTATCTTCTGTTTGAGACAGGGACTTACTCTGTAGCACCGACTCCCTTAGCCTCCCTGGGATTGCAGGCATGAACCACCCAAACTGGTTTCAATTTGTATTCTAATGCTATAGGGGGAAGAGGCCTGGTAATCCAATTAATTAAATGCATAGCTTCAGAGAGTAGAAAGTAAAAAACAGAACAAAATGAAACCCAAAGCTCAGAAAGGTTCTTACCTATACCTGGATGGTCAGCCACAATGGTTACTCGATACTCTTTACAGAACACCTGGTAGGCAGACATGTTCTTCTTTTTTGGCTAGTGTCACACACACACACACACACACAAAACATAACAGGGCAAAAGTTGATTAGGACCCAAGTAGTATATTTTCTATATTCTTCAGCCACAAAAGAGTGCCATCCTATCAATCAGCTTCCCTGAAGAAGATAATTTAATTTTTAATCCATGTTACTTATTACCCAGGGGTTAACATCAGATCTAACATGCCAAACATCTGTGAACACCTTCATTCTTATATAAAAACCCCATGTTGCATAATTCTTTGAGCATCAAGTACTAATTCTTCTTCTTCTTTTTTTTTTTTTAAAGATTTATTTATTTATTATGTATACAGCATGTATGACTACAGGCCAGAAGAGGGCATCAGATCTCGTTACAGATGGTTGTGAGCCACCATGTGGTTGCTGGGAATTGAACTCAGGACCTCTGGAAGAGCAGTCAGTGCTCTTAACCTCTGAGCCATCTCTCCAGCCCCCCCCCCCTTTTTTTCAAGATAGGGTTTCTCTATGTAGCTTTGAAGCCTGTCCTGGAACTCACTCTGTAGCCCAGGCTGGCCTCAAACTCAGAGATCCGCCTGCCTCTGCCTCTGGAGTGCTGGGATTAAAGGTGCGTGCCACCATCACCCGGCCAAGCACTAATTCTTATAAGATCTCTACCTTCCCTTGAAGAGACTAATTTTCTCATCCTTGAGAATCAGAACCACTTTCCTTTTCTTTCTTTTTTTCTTAGGTTTTTTTGAGACAGGGTTTCTGTGGACCAGTTGGTCTCTGCCTCTGCCTCCCAAGCTCTGGAATTAAGAAATGTACCAGCACTGTCAGACTAGGGGTTCCCTAGTTGGGTCAGCTCAACCCTGGAGCCAGAAATGCACACCCTAAATCAATGTTACTTTTTCTTTTTCTGGGTTTGATGTCTCATCTTGTAGCCCGTTTCCTAACCTTTGTAGTTTATCATATTTTATTCAGATTCCAGTGGTGGAAAGGTGCGATATTTAAACCTGTAAACAAGTTGGACATGGTGGTACACACCTTTGATCCCAGCACTGGGGAGAGAGAGGCAAGAGATCTCTGGTACATATAGCAAGTTCCAGGACAGCCAGGGCTACATAGAGAGACGGAAGGAAGGAAGGAAGGAAGGAAGG